CAGGATGAAAAGATTTCTGAAGCATGATAGAAAAATTCTGGAGTGCAGTCTGGAGAGGTCAAGAGGAAAAACACAAATGTTGGAGGGGCTATGGAAAAAAGAACAAAAACAAAACCCAGTACACTAATCCACTGCTGATGGATCTATGAATGTCCAGCCATTATGGAAAATAATTAGGACTCATGATGAAAAATGCTATCCACTTCCAGAGAGGGAACTGATGGATTCTGCATGCAGATTGAAACAAGTTTTTTTTCCCTTTATTTTTCTTGCTTTTTGCTTTCAGATCGTGGCTAATCTGGAAATGTTTTGCATGACTTCATAGGTATTTTGTTGTTGTTCAGTCGTTTTCAGTTGTATTTGACTCTTTGTGACCCCATTTGGGGTTTTCTTGGCAAAGATACTGGAGTGGTTTACTATTTCCTTCTCTACCTCATTTTAAAGATGAGGAAGCTGAAGCAAACAAGGTTAAGTGACTTGTCCAGGGTTACACAGCTAGTAAGTGTCTGAGGCCAGATATGAATTCAGGAAGATAAGTCTTCCTGACTCCATGCCCAGCACTCTATCCACTACACCATCTAGCTGCCTCTGGGTTTAACTAACTCAATGCAAATGATTTTTAAACCTGCGCATTCAACCTTCATCTCTCTTCTAGGCTCCAGTCTAACATTATCAACTGCTTAGCAGACATTTCCACTTGTATGTCCCCAAAGTATCTCAAACTCAGCATGTCCAAAACATAACTCATTTCCTTCCCCACCCCTCATCCCCCCAAATCTCACCTTTTTTTTCTAACTTTCATATTTCTGGTATGCCACCATCCTTCCAGTACCCTACACTTGCAACTTAGGGGTCACATTCAGCCCTTACTCTTCCTCATCCCCAAATCCAATCAGTTGCCTAGTGTTATCAATTCTATCTCCATAACATTTCTAACATCAATTTACTTCTTTCTACTCATACAACAACTATCCCACTTTAAGCTTTCAACCTTTTATCTGCCAAATTGATATTTCTAAAGTACAGATCTATCTTACTCCTCCTACCTAAGAAGCTTCGATGGGTCCCTATTTCCTCTAGAACAAAATTACAAACTCCTCTGTTTGGCATTTAAAAGCTTTCACAATCTGTTCCAAACTATCTAGAATAATACCCCAGTTCTCCCAGGCACACATTTTGTATTCCAGCCAAAGTGACCAACCTGCTGCTCCTTATATGGTGTATTCCATCTCTTTTTGTACAGCTCATCACCCACGCCTGGAATGCTCTCTCTCCTCATTTTCATCTCTAGTAATCCCTAGCTTTTAGTATTTACTTATCACATCTTTTATATTCCCTTATCGGTGTATACATTGATTCTCCCCAATAAAATGTAAGCTCCTTTAAGAGCAGACTGGTACATTTTTGTCTTTGTATCCCCAGTACCGAGCACAGTGCTTAGCACAAAGTAAGTATATAATAAATGCTTAATTAATTGAACTGTATCCCAGGCATGGGGGACAATTTCTATGAATTCACCTAGGCCAAAGATAGAGTAGGGAGTTTAGAAAACAGTTAGTAGATTAGTTTGGATGGAATATAGTGTCCATGAAGGGGATTCATATAAGATAAATATAGAAAGGTAGTTAGGAATTAGAGTGTGAAAAGTCTTAAATGCCAAGTGGATTATTTTGGTAATTGCATGAAATTATTGGTTACCATTGTCAAAGGGTAAAAAACTTCACAGGAGAAGCAGCATAAAGAATATCAGAGGTGTATGATGATAATAATAGCATCTATATAGTGCTATAAGTTTTTCAGAATGTTTTATATACCTTGTTTGATCTCATAACAACCCTGTGAGGTAGATGCTATTATTACCCTCATCCCATTTTACAGATCAGGTCACAGAGCTAGTAGGTGTCTGAGGTGGGAATTGAACCCAGATCTTCTTGCATCTAAGTCCAGCAATCTGCCTTACTTAGTCAAGGGACAACAGATAGAAAACCCATGTGCTACATAGCTAGTCACATTTAGGGAGAACAGTGAGGCTCTGTGCTGGACAAGACTAAGACATCAAAGTCTGAGGTTTTCTTGCTAGTCAAATATGAATAATAAGGCATAATGAGAACAGAGTTGGAGGGCAATGATTTCCTTGCCTTTTCCATTTAGCTTTCCTTGGATCATTTGCACAGCAAAGGGGATTGATTGAGAGCAAAGTGAGCCTCATCACTCCAGCCTCTATCACAACACCTTTGTAGTAGTTTTTTATCTCTAAGTTAGGTGAATGCAATGGAAATTACGAGGAATTTTTTAAACTCCAAATGATAGTTGTTTGGGACCATGTAGTTCACATCAGTACCAGACAAAGGCAGTAAATAGAACATACTTAGTCTTAGCCTGTTTCATTCTGCTGGCTTTTGATAGAGCTCTGGTTGATTGCGGTAACTCAACTACAGCTACATAATGAAAGCATCTACTTGCTTTTGTCAAGGGAAGGCTTTCTGGTTACTGTACTACACTATAGGTGGGAACAAAGATCAATAGATAGCTCTGAAGTACTGAAACTCAACAGGTGTTGGCAGAGAGCTGCTTGATGACCACAAGACCACTGGAGACACCCAGCAGAGGTTATGAGACAGAAAGTAGAGAAGCGATGCCCAGCACAAAGTACAGCAACACCTCCAGCGCACACTGGCAATTCTGCAGTGCTAAAAATATGAGTTGCTCCCCTCTATATGTACACCCTGGCCATGTGTGTCTCTGTGTATAACTTCCATATATGTTATTTGGCCACATGGTTTCTTGATTTGTTATATCCACATATGTGTCCTGGTCAGACCAATTCCTGATATGTGCCCCAACACAGTGTTCTCAGATCATTTGTACTCTATGTTTATATTTCTTAGTCATGTGCTGTCTGCATATGAGCTTTTCCTCAATGGTGATGTAGTAACCTGTGGGAGAGTGAACCCCATGTACGCAGGGGGTAAGATACCTTTTCTTATATAACATTAGTGGCTATACTTTTTTATTTTTTTATTTTTTTTGGTGAGGCAATCAGGGTTAAGTGACTTGCCCAGGGTCACACAGCTAGTAAGTGTTAAGTGTCTGAGGTAGGATTTGAACCCAGGTCCTCCTGACTCCAAGGCCAGAGCTCTATTCACTGCGCCATGTGGCTGCCCCTTGTGGCTATACTTTTTGATCAAATTATACATTTTGCTGGAACCTCATACAGGTGCCCTCTAACCATAGGTGTTCCACAGGACCTTATTGTGGGCCCTCCTCTCTTCTTCCTCTTTATCACTTTACTCCATGATCTCATCAGTTCCCATGGATTTAATTACCATCTCTATGCAGATAATTCTCTAATCTACCTATCCTGCCCCAATGCCTCTGCTGGCCTCCAATCTCACATCTCCCATTGTCTTTTAGACATCTCAAACTAGATATCCAGTAGACATCTTAAACTAAATGTATCCAAAACAGAACTCACTATCTTTCCCCATAAATCCAGCCCTGTTTCTACCTTCCCTATTACTGTAGAGGGCAACATCATCCTCCTAGTCCCTGAGGCTCGAAACCAAGAAGTTACTTTTGACTCCTCACTATTCCTCACTGTCCCCTCCCCGACTTCCAATCTGTTGCTAAGGCCTGTAGGTTTTACCTTTGCAACATCTCGCTACTATCTCTTGTTCTGTCCTCTGACCCTGCCACCACTAGTGCAGGCCTTTATTACCTCACACCTGGACTACTGCAATAGTCTGCTAATGGGTCTGTCTGCCTCTAGTCTCTCAGGTCCCTTTCAGCCACCAAAGAGATTAAGAGATTTTACTGAAGTATAGGTCCAAGCATGTCAAAACACACACACACACTCACTCACTCCAGTGGCTCCCTATTACCTCCAGGGTAAAAGAGAAAATGCTCTGTTTGACATTCAAAGCCCTTCATAACTTGGCCCCTTCTGCTTTTGGTTTTCTTACACCTTACTGCCTGCTATTTCCATCCAACAACACTAACCTCCTTGCTGTTCTGCAAATAAGACATTCATCTCAAGGGATTTTCTTCCTCCCCAACTCTGCTGCTGACTTGCTCCACCTCCTTTAAGTCTCAACTAAAATCTCATCTTTTACAGGAAGCTGTTCCCAACCCCTCTTAATTCTAATGCCTTCCCTCTGTTTATCCTGTATAAAGCTTGCTTTGTACGTATTTGTTTGCATGTTGTCTCCCTCATTAGATTATAAGCTCCTTGAGGATAGGAGCTGTCTTTTTTTTCAAATTAATTGTATTCCCAGCACTTAGCACAGTGCCTGGCATATAGTAGGCACTTAATAAATGTCTATTGACTGATTTTGTTTTGAATTAATGTATCCCTTAGGTAATAAATATATACGTATCACTGTGAATGGATTAACTTCACGCTTTTGCGTTGGTTGGTATCGACCTATTAGAGGAACCTAGGTGACTCAGTGGATAGAGCACTGAGCTTGGAAGCAGGAAGACTCATCTTCCTGAGTTCAAATCTGGCCTCAGACACTTATTAGCTGTGAAACCCTGGGCAAGTCATGTACCCTGTTTGCCTTGGTTTCTTCATCTGCAAAATGCTGGAGAAGGAAATGGCAAACCACTCCAGTGTCTTTGCTGAGAAAACCCCAAATGAGGTCACGAAGAGAGAAGAGTCCGAAAGGACTCAACAACAAAACTGAGTGCCAGGAACCCGAGGTGGCTTTTCTGGAGACACTCCTATGTGGCAAGTCCCAGATCTAGAAGGAGGACTTCAAAGCCATCAGGGGGACTCCTTGTCGAGGACTCAGTGAAGGACATGGTCAAATCCCACCAGATATGAAGGTTTGGATGGGCTGCAATCTATACCTTTGGAGAAAGCAAGCACATCCACAAAATCACCGAAACGTTTAAGCGTCGGGGTAGATAAGGCCCTCGGTTTTTCTTTCCTCAAAGATCTACAGTAGGTTGGTCATATATAATCTCTTTGAGAAGCTCCATTATTTTTTCCGTGGCAGTTCATCACCGGACCTGAGCAGAACTGAAGCTGCTCCCGCCCCCCGGACTCCTCCCCGGGCCAGTTGTTCAAATCCGTCTCCCCCAGGGGCTCCTCCGACAGGGATTGGCTGCCCCGGGCCCCTAAAAACCGCCGGCCCAGCCAATGGTCCTGTACACCACAGGGGCTGTTTCCGGCCCTTAAACAAGTGGGTGACAGGAGGGGCGGGGCTACGGCGACCGCTCGAGGCCTAGTTCTCTGTGTGCTACCGTGATAGAACCAAGCCCAGCTCTTGACATCGGGAGAAAGGACTGGTCAGTGAGGGTCTGGGAAAAAAATAGAAGAACAAAAATCTTTAGGAAAGGGGTCCCTGGAAGTAGAATAGGCCGAGCAGGCCGCGTCATCTGGGGAGCTGTAGTCCAGAACAGTTTGTCCCCGGCGCAGGCGCACGTTCCCCGAGGATGCGCGCGCAGCCTCGACGCCATGATTTGTTCTTAAGCTTCGAACTCAGCTCTTTTTCATAGGTCAGTCCAGGCTCCGGACCCGGTTCCAGGTATTTAGCGGCCCGGCCCCATCGCTCGTCGCCGCACGTTCTGCCTGGGGAGCTCGGCTCCGGGAGGGGCCAGAGGTGGGCGGGATATTGTAAGGCGGGGAGGACGCGGGGGGCGGGGCGGGCGGAGCGGCTTCCCCAGGTCGGAGAGCGCGGCAGAGTGAGTGACGGGCTGGGCCCCCGGCGGCTCCTCGGGCGCGGACGGTTTGACAGCCGCGTCACGTGCGTGCGGCGCTGAGGCTGGCGGAGTTCGAGACCTCGATTGCGTCCGCCTTGTGTCAGTCTGTCAGCAAACGTTAGGTGCCTACTTAGTGCCAGGTACTGTGAATGAATGAATGAATATTTGTTAAGTGTTTGCCTTGTCTTGAGCATCTGGCTAAGGAGTGGAGAAACAAATGTGAAAGCTAATACCTGCCCTCAAGGAGCTTACCTTCTAACTGAGCAAGACAGTACTTCTCCAGAATCGTGGCTAGGTAGGAGTGTTTTGGTTTGTTCAGGAGCATATTGTTAAGTCATTTCAGTTGTGTCCGACTGTAGTGGTCTGCCATTTCCTTCTCCAGCTCATTTTACAGATGAGGAAACTGAGGCAAATAGGTTCAAGTGACTTGCCTAGGGCCCCGCGTCTGAGGTCAGATTTGATCTCAGGAAGATGAATCTTCCGGACTCCAAGCTGGCACACTATCCACTGTGCCACCTGCTGTCATGTAAAAGGACTTAGAGGGCTTTTTAAAGGAGTTTGGCTGAGAAAGGGAGGCACGATCCAGAAGGATAATTAGGTTTTGTTTTTGTTTTTAAGGGAGACAACTAGGAAAGAACCGGAAGATGGAGAGATACCGAGGATTAAAGAAAGAAGATTATTGTGGGAGCAATCTGCTAGAGAAACTGGGAGAGAATGGGGCAGGGATGTCTATAGAGAGGTTGGCTTTGGTGAGAAGTAGAGACTTTACTTGATCAGAGAATGGAGTAAAGGAGAGGATAGTGGGAGAATCACACACACACCCACCCACCAGCTGGCACTGGGCCTTGAACACAGTGGAGGGAGGCAGTAGAAAAAAACACTTCCTTCCCTCAAGGAACTTAAACTTTGTTGAAGGAATACATCATGTACAGAAGTAAATAAAAATAAGATCATCTGAAGAGGGGGAGAACACTAATAAAAAGAGGAATCAGGAAAAGTATTCCATAGGAGGTGACATATGAGATGAGATTTTAATGAAACTAGGGATTCTAAGAGGCTGAGAAGAGAAAGGAGTACATTCCAGGAATTGGAGGGTAACCTCTGGAAAGGCATGGGGACAGGACATGGAATACCAAGTTCAAGGGAAGAATCTAAGGAGGGTTATAATATGCAGTAAGCCTGGAAAGGTAGACTTGGCCATGTTGTGAAGAGTTTTCAATGCAAATTGAGTTTGTAGTATGTCACAGCAATGGGGGCCACTAAAGAATGTTAACTCCCAAAGGGCATGGACTATTTTTTTTGTTTTGTTTTAGTTTTTTGCCTGTATCCCTGGGACCTAGCCTTGTGCTTTGCACATAGTAGGTGCTTAATAAACATTTGTAGAATTGAATTCTATTTTTGTTTAATGAATAAAATTCATCATATGCCTATTTGTATTGCTGGTTCTGTCTTCTGTACTTTATAGGACTTAGATGCTAGGTCCTCTTCTCTGACCCCATCTTCTCTCTGCTCACAGCATTTCTATGTTGAGTTAATAGGTATCAAGCCTGAAGCACCAGAGAGAGGGTCCTGGACTGAGGAGACAGAAATCTCAGCCCCAGAGTGAAGGTCCCAGATAAAAGTGATCTTGCATCTAGTCCCCAGGTGCTGGGGAACAGGGACTCATCCCAGGAGGAGACACACCTGGCGTGAAACCTTTAGTCAGAGTTTCAGGAATGAGCAAGTCCTAGAAGATTCATGTTGGATCAGTTCCTGTTACCTTGCCTGGGAAAACAGGACTGGGGTGACATCAGACTATCCAGAAACCAGTGAGCACTGTTTAACCTTAGAGAATCTGACCCAAATGCTTCAGGAAAGAGGTGAGAATTACAGAAGGGGGAGATGCTATGGTTTCCCTAATAAGGAGGTGATGCCTTGAACCATTTAATGGGACTTTTTCCTCTAAAACTGACAGGATTGAGTTTGAGAGTATATGTATATATATGTATGATGGCATATGATGTGTATGTATGATGTGTCTGTGGGTACCCAAGCAGAGATCCAAGTCTACATATCTGGGTGCCGGGACAAAGGTGTGAGTCTGTGACAGGGTGTCAGAGGCTTGGGCCTATGTGTGTTACTGCTTTCTGTCATGAAGTGTATAAGAGGAGTCACACCAATCTCTTTTGTGAGTAGCTTCAGCTTGATCTGTTTGAGAACCACAAAACAAGATCTCCCTTCATTTTTTTTTCTCTTCAACAGCTCAACTTTCTCAGAAATCAGCATTTCCCCTAACTGTTTCACTGATCAGAAAGTAATGTACCCTGGCCTAGTAACAATGAGATCCCAGGTGAGTAGGAGTTTCTTCTTAGTCTCCAGAAATGCCATCTTATGGCAGGAATGTTTTCTGTTATCCTGGAAGTATTGTTTAGGTACCTAAGGCCCAGCTGTTTTGCCCCCAGGAGACAGAGAGTGTTCTTAACTTAATAACACCATTTCACAGAATTCCTTTCTTCTCATAATATCAATGAACTCAGTCAGGTGGAAGTCAAGTCTACTATATGCTCAGTAATTTCTGTGAACAATCCTAGCCAGTGAGCAAAACAAAAGAAATGGAAAACAGGCCTTGCCCTCAAGGACCTTTGCAGTCTCACTAGACGAGAACATGTAAATTTATTTTGTGGTTTTTTAACACAGGTGAAAAACTTAAATAGTGCAGAGAAATGTATGAGTCAGGGTTGAGAAGAATGGAGCAGAAAATAAATATCAAAAATTCAGAGGAAGGAGAGGCTAGACAAGATTTAAATAATTGTAGAGGATGGCAAAGGACATTCTGGGCAGGGAGAACATCATGTGCAAAGACTTAGAGCTGGAGTGACTCTGTTCTTTGTAGAAACCAGTAAGAAGTTTGGCTTAGTTGGAGGAGAGGGGTACTTTATTTATTTTTGGTTTGTTTGGTTTTTTTGTTTGTTTTTTTTTTAACTAGGCAGTGGGGTTAAGTGACTTGCCCAGTGTCACACAGCTAGTCTGTGTCAAGTGTCTGAGGCTGGATTTGAACTCAGGTCCTCCTGACTCCAGGGTCGATGCTCTATCCACTGCTCCACCTAGTTGCCCCATACTTTATTGTTTTTTAAAATGTGTTTTGTTGATGTCTTTGTCTTTGTATCACAGTCATTTCCTCTCCTACCCTTCCAGATTAAACCCATTATTGTGGCAAAATTAAAATATTTGAAACAGAATCCTTGTAACAGTGTATACAATATTCTTTTCTATTAGTTTCCCACCTCTTCATTGTGAGGGAGGAGGTATTTTTCTTTCTCTCTTCTCCAGGACCTTTACTAATATTTTTCCTTTACTCAGAGTTCATCTTCCTTTTGTTGATCTGCGTAGTTATAGTCATATACTTTGCTTTCTTGATTATGCTTATTTTGCTCAGAATTATTTTGTATAAATCTCACATTTCTCTAAATTCCTCATATTTATTTCTTACTGAACAATAATATTCCACTACCTTATTATAGCATAGGTTTGTTTGTTTGTTTTCAGCCATTCCCCAACACCAACTTTGTTTCCAAGTCTTGATCAGTTCAGCACTCTTCCCTGATATCTTGGTATGCCTTTGCACTTAGTTCCTGACTTCACTTCTACCACTCACTTTTGGAGTCCTTAATTGTTTGCATCTCTCTAATAACTCAGGCTGCCTGTTGCAAACTACTGTATTCTTCTCTGTATTCATTTCATAAGACCTTTTCTTAGATCCAGGGAGCCTTTGTTCTTCTGTGATCTATTGGTCATTTGCTTTTATTTTAAAAAGACCTCTTGTGTTGCTTGAGCTCCAGTCTGCGGGTGATTTAATTGTTAATTCTTTGGCACATCCACCAGAGATGAGTTGTATAATGAGTTTTATAAGACTAATTATTGCTTAACCATTGTTCTTGGCAAATTATGCCAAAGGTAAATAGTACATATAAACCTACTTCAGTTGTCACCTTAGCATTACAAGAAATGTTTGATATCTTATTTGTTCTTTATACATATCCATTAGCTTGTGGATGTTCTAAGCAGGAGCCAACCCCCTGTTCCCTCCTGTAATCTCCAGCAAAATGTGTTAATAAACTGTGGTCCCCAGTGTTATATGATCTACTCTAGGGACCTTTATGCTTAAATCATTTTCTTCAGATTATACAGGTTTTCTGTGAAGCTAATGTGAGGTTCAGGATCAGGTGGCACAGAAAAGAGAAGTAATTGCCTGCCATAAATATTCTCTGAGAAGGTGGCATCTCCATTATGAGGCCCAATCACCTGTGATAAGAGGATTCATGAGAAAACAAGCTCTAGTGTCTGACTGAGAGATTTTGACTTGCTGGCACTGCCCAGTCCAGACAGAGAACTTCCTATAACATGACAAACAATTAGAAGCAAGGGAAGGTAGCTCTATACAGATTCCCTCACTGATTTGAAAGCACCACACAACCCTTCCCCATCCCAGGGGAAAAAAAAGAAACATAAAAAACAAAAAAATCATTTGGAAACTAATAGTAACAGCTAGCATTTATACAGCTCTTTCATGTTTTTTTTTTCCCTCAGAGCTTTAGATATTGTCTCATTTGATCCTCATAAGAATCCTGTAAGGTAGGTGCTATCATTGACCTCACTTTACAGATGAAGAAACTGAAACTGAGAGATACTAAGCAACTTGCACGATGACACAGCTAGTAAATGACTGGGACAGGATTCAGTCTCAGGTGTTCCTCTCTCCAAGTCCAGCACTTTATCCGCTTCCTGGAATTCCAGAGCTCTCCCTGAACTTGACACCAGTAATCAATGTGCATGACCTAACCTTGTCTCCCACACTTGCAAGCTAAATGGGGACCATCCACCACTTCCAGTGTCCCTGCGGGTCTGGGTTAAGAAACTCCTGAATTAAGCAACCCTGTCTCTATTACATCCCACATATAGGCCTAAGTTTCTCAGCCTAAAGCTACCGTCCATTGACAAGGCACCAAGAGGCAGTGAGTTCCTTAACCCACTAAGCTTGAGGAGTCTAGTCCCATTCCAACCCAGGAAGGCCTTCACCCCTTATGGTTCAAGGAATCTGTAGGGTTCCTTGCCCATATAGATGCCTATTGAAGACAACTAAGATTTTCTGCTAAGTCCCTGTGTCGTCCATCACCATCCTTTTTGGCTAGGCAATCAGGGTTAAGTGACTTGCCCAGGGTCACACAGCTAGGAAGTGTCAAGTGTCTAAGGCCCAATTTGAACTCAGGTCCTCCTGACTTCAGGGCTGGTGCCCTATCCACTGCGCCACCTAGCTGCCCCTCTCCATCACCATCTTTACCAGAGTGGGGGACTCCTGACATCATAGCCCTTTCCCTACTCCCCTCTCCCTTGTATCCCAATACTCGGGTCCACCTAGCCAATGGCTTAAAGCTTCTTATTCTTCAACCCCATCCCATCATTACCACCCCCCTCCCATTTATACTCTTAGCATGGGCTGAAAGCTATGGAATTCTGTACTTTTCCCCATAGTGGAAGGAATAACTCCTCCAATTCAATCATAGGAAGAACCCAACTCTGTTCTAAACCCTGAGCCTGACTAGAGACCCCTATACTCTGCTGCAACAACCATAGCTTGCACCTTGATCAGGCTTGCTAGATCACATGCTTTCTACCTTTCTAATTCCTGAACAGAAAAAGGAATTCTGTTTAAAAAATTATAATACAATAAAGAAATTCTATAACATAAAATATCCAAGGGATAGAAATTCTTTTGGAAATGTAAGCTGAAGCATTAACAAGTGGTAGAAGCACAAAAGGATAATTAAGTTGGATAGTAAATATATTGAGAAACAGCATGGTGTAGTAGATAGATAGCCAGACTTAGAGTCATGGAAGCAACAAACTACAGAATAAATCAAATTGAGTTGAAAATTCAATATATGATAAAAAATAAAATTGGAGAACCAGCCTATGTCAGTATAACTGAAAAAGCAACTAATAGGTATGCCTGCCAGAGTAGCAGATGTGGAAAACAGAGGTACATGCATCAGACTAATTGTAGTTCTAGAAAACACCGAATAAGAAAAAACCTGCTCTTTTAAGGTTAAGCACTGGTTGAATGGCTCCATATTTTCATTTGTGGATCACTGATAACACATAGGGTGTTTTCTTTGTTTTAGTTAACTTTTCTTTTTAAAAAATCTTGACAAGGATGAACATTTCCTCATATATAGAAAAATTCATATATGAAACGATCCATATCTTTTTTTAAATGTCTACATTAAATTTAACACAGTACCAACACTACCCTGCTTATGTTTGTCACCTTCTAACTTCTTTTTTCTGTGTATTTTTAAAATGTTTCATTAAATCTCTGCTTTCTTTTTGTCTTTTTTTTTTTTTTTTTGCATCACTGAGAGGCATAGTGAATAGAGAGCTGGCCTTGGAGCTAGAAAGACCTGGGTTCAAGTCCCCCTTCTGACACTTAATGGTTGTTCCATCCTAGCAATTCACTTAACTTGCTTTGGTATAGGAAGTTTGTCACTAGGAGCTCCCTACACCAGTGAAATCACAGGTCAAATATCTGCCCTTTTTGAGTCTCTATCACCAACTGCCACCATTCCATTAGTCTCTAAAACTCTGTTCACCCCCTAAATCCCATAACAAAAAGCCTCCCTTGTAACAAATAATTATAGTCAAGCAAAACAAATTCTCAGATTGATCATGTCTGAAAAATTGTCTCATTTTGCAATTACAGTCCATCACCTCTTTGCCAAGAGGTAGACACCATGCTTCATCATCAGTGTTCTATAGTGATTAGTTACTGCATTGATAAGAGTTCATAAGTCTTTCTAAGTTGTTTTCCTTTACAGTGTTGTCATTGGATCTGCTCATGTTACTCTTCTATAGTCAGCTTTCTCGGAGTCAATCCCATTTATCATTTTTATAGCAGTTATCTTCCATTACATTCATTGGCAGTAATTTGTTGAGCTGTTTCACAGTTGATAGGTCCCTACTGTCCAGGTTCTTTGCTACAACAACAAAGAGTGCTGTCATAAATATTTTACATATATATCCTTTCCCTCAGTGTTTGATCTCTTTGGCTAGGAGAGATATTGCATGATCAAAGAGTATGCATAATTTAGTGACTTTTTTGCTTCCAGGGGAAAAATAATGTTTTCTCTTTAAGAATACTGACTGTCTCATACTTCTATCGTATCTCCTATATGGTCAAGATCACTATTAGGTACATAGTAGAAATTATAATAATTTATTTAATTTGAAACACTCATAGGATCGTAGATTATAGATGACCTTAGAGGTCATCAAGGTTTCTGTGATCTTATAGAAGAGGCCTAGACAGGTTTAGTAACTTGCCTAGGGTCACTAAATATCAGAAGCAGGACTTGAATCCATTTAAACCACTGTATGATACCTGTCTGTGTATTCAAATCCTTGAACATTATCCAGACAGGTAATCTTGTTTACTCACTGAAGTTCCCATTTGCCCCCAAAACCATGTCAATGGATTGTGGTTGAATAAGAATGTTTTTGACATTTCAGGAATCATTGACATTCAAGGATGTGGCTGTGTACTTTACCCAGGAGGAATGGGGGCAACTAGACCCTGGTCAGAAATATCTATACAGAGATGTAATGCTAGAGAATTATAGGAATCTGGTCTCATTGGGTAAGTATGGTTTTCTCATATGACTTAGAATCATTTTGTCCGTTGAAATATCTTTCTTTCCTCAGTTAATAAAGGGTATGAAGCTGCTGAAGAGTTTATCCATGAAGAAACATGGGGTTCAGTTATCAGATTCCTAATCTCTTTATGGCAGAGAAATAGGATGTTCCTGATTTTCAGGTGAAAGGTCTATACCTTGTAGCATAAGAAATAGGCACTTCCTTTGTGCTACATTTATTATTGCCTCTTTCATCTTTCAGAAGTTCTGAGGAACAGTGGCATGGAAGTTTTTGGGATAGAACTTTGTCCCCAAAAAGCCACCTAAGTCATTTGTCTTTCTACTTGAGCAGGGTATCACATTTCCAAGCCAGATGTGATCTCCCATTTGGAGCAAGGAGAAGAACCTTGGATGGTAGGGAGAGAAATCCTAAGAGGTAATTCTCCAGGTGAGTGAGAGAGAACCAAGCAAATGAGTATTATTATAAATAACAATTGTGAAAGAAAGTAAACCTCATTCAGCATTTGGCTGAATTTTATCAGAAAACCCTTTATTATCTTAAAACCTATTGCAGATAGAGGAATTGACCAATTTGAAGGACAACCATTTTGGTCCTTTTTTTTTTTTCCTTGTAATCATAAAGCGTTTCTATGAATACATAGGTATATGTTATATCTTGTTTTCTGTCTGTGACTTTCTTGGATATGTGTCCAACCTGATCATGGAGAACTTTAAATGTCAAATAAAAAGTGTATATTTTATCTTAGAGGCAATAGGGGTCACCAGAACTTTTTGATCAAAGGAATGACATAGTCGTGGAAATAGCAATTTGACAACTAAGTCAGTGATAGATTAGAGAGGGGAGAGACCAGAGATGGGAAGACAAATTAGGAGAATGTTGGAGTACTCCAGATGCTAATTGAGAACTGTCTTTTGATCTACTTCCAGCTCATATTTATAGCAATTATAAAACAAATGATGAAATTCCATGGCATCAAAAAAGAAAAAAAGTAGTCAGTTTTCAGTTATGCTTTTGTAATATTTATCTCGCAAAAAGGGAATATTAATTATGTGGACACATCCTCAAAAAAGACTTGATTAGCTAGCCTCTTGGGGACCAAGTATATTCCTTTCCCTAATCCATTCTTGCAATACAAAGGAGACCTTCAAAGCTATAAGCTTTCTTTAATCATGAGATATTTTAGAGTTCTTTTGATGCTAGGATTCTCCTTTAAGTACCCTATACTTGTAGAGAAGACTGTGGTCACTTAGCATGAGTTCCCTCAAATGCCATTCTTGCTTTTATCTCAGCATAACACAGACATGGTTACTACTATTATTGGTTCCAGTGGTTTATAAACACTATTGCTTTTTATTTTTATACCATAGTTGTTTCCCCTTAATCCTCCTCCTCTCCCTCAAACCCTACCATTTTACCCCTCCTTTCCACACATCCATTGGACCCTTTCTTGTAACAAAGAAAAGCATTTCAGTAAAACCAACCATTAGATACCATTTTTGACAGGGTTTACTGCATTCCACATATATGTACTCCCTACTTTTCTACTGAGTAGTGGAATATGTTTTATTTTCATTTTTCTAAATATCTCCTGTTGTACTTCAGAGTTCAGTTGCCTTTTAGTGTTATTAATCATTTATGTGTTTGTAGTCATTGTCTGTATTATTCTCTTGATTCTGCTTTCTTTATGGCATCACTTCATATAGCCTTGCCAAGTTTGTCTGAATTCCTTATAGTCATTTCTTATAGGACAATAATATTCTATTACATTAATATGCTATGGTTTCCTCAGCCATTTCCCAAATTTATGGACAACTATTTTGGTTCTAATTTTGTTGTAGCCACAAAGAATGCATGTGAATATATGGTATAGATTGTATCTTGTTCTCTGTCTTTTATTTTCTTGGGTATATGCTTAGTAATGGGATTGCTGAGTCGCAGGGTAAGAACAGACTAGTGATTTTTCTCATATAATTCCGAATTGTTTTCCAGAATGGTTGGACCAATTCATAGCTCCGTGAGCTACTCAACAATGTTTTGTCCAGACTGGGTGCAGGGGCCTATACCTTTCAAGACAAAGGCCAAGATTTATTTGTTTGTATTCCATTTTTGATACCCACCCTATTTATAGTCTAACTGTAGCATCCATGAGGGCAGCATCAACTAGTCTAGATTTCATGTTGCAGTCATGATTGGTTAATCTCTAAGGGCTTCCCTATCTACAGCTATTAAATCCATGTTAAGCCTCTGTCTAGTGTACACTGTAATCTCTAATCCAGTAGGAGGGATGGACTTCTTAATTTCTTTATGTTGGATAGTCAAATGAGCACATAAATTAAGAGATTTTGTTAGTACTGAATAGTAGAAAATATATATGCATATATATATATATACACACACACAAAAGAAAATAAAATATAGAAACTGACTATACACAAGATATCTCACTGTATATGAGAGAAAGATAATGGGATATAGAAGTTAATTGCAGAACAGGACAGGATCTGGTTTTCAAAAAAGGACATGGAAACCAGCTGTTGCTTAAAAAAAAAAAACCAGGATGTAGGAGAATAAACATGTCATTCATTCTTTCAGACAAATTCAGGTATGATTTCTTGACCAAGTATGGGAACCAATAAATCTATTAATGATTCCAGGTTGATCAGAATGTAGAGAGTGTGTGAGGGAAAGGGGAAGTGAAAGAAGGGGGAAGGAGGGAGGAACATTTATATAGTGCCTATTGTGTGCCAGGCACTGTGCTAAGCACTTTATAAATATTATCTCCTGCTATTATTGTCTCTTTTACAGGTGAAGAAACTGAGGTAAACAGACGTTAAGTGACTTCCCCAAGGTCGCACAGCTAGTATATAGCTGAAGCCAGATTTGAACTCGGGTCTTCCTGACTCCCAGCATTCTATCCACTGTGACATCAAGATGTGAGATTCGTATAAAATAGGTTTAGAAAGACAGACTAGAACCCAATTGTGGAGGACTTTAAACACCCAGAAAAAGGAGTTTGTGTTTTATCCTAGAGGCATTAGGGTACCACTAGAACTTTATGATCAAAGGAGTGACATGGACTAACCTGTGCTTTGGAAATACCAATTTGGCAGCTAGGGGGAATGATAGCTTAGAGAAGGGAAAGACCAGAGATGGGAAAACCAATTAGGAGACTGTTGGAGTACTCTAAGCAAGAGGTAATAAGGTCCTGAACTAAGATGATTGTAAAATGAGTAAAGATAAGGGTATGTATGTGAGATATGGATGAAGACTTGGCAAGACTTGGTATCTTATTAGATGTGGTGGGGCTAGTGAACATGTTGAAGATGACTCAGATTGTGAAGCTGAGTTCCTGGAAGAATATATTCTTGACAGAAATAGGTCAGTTAGGAGGAAGGTTGTATTTAAGGGTAAAGACAGTGAGTTCTGTTTTGGACAAATTGAGTTTGAAATGTCTGTGGTACATCCAGTTAGAAATAACTAAAGGTGATTGGTTATGTGGGACCAGAGTTCAGGAGAGACTGGCACTGTATATAGAGAGTTCTCACTTTACATAAGTGGACTGTTCCACAGACTTCTATGTGAAGTGATTTTTACAGATGTGGGGAAGGGAGGGAGGGAAGCAAGAAGGGGACATTGCACCTCTGGAGAGAGGAGGTTGGCACATGGTTCAAGGACATGTGGAGGCCAAGGACAGAGAAGCAAGAGCAGGGGGAGGAACATGTAAGGGCAGGGGCCACCCGCGAGAGGCCTGGATGAAATTGAAAGGAAGAACATGCTGAGGGCAGACATGGATACAGACAGGAGAGAATGGGTGACACACAGGGGCCAGGGACATACACACAGTGCCTGAGTGTGGACAGATGGAAGACAGACAGGGACCCCTGCAGATGGAGTGGAGCAAAGTTCTCCCTCAGCACTGTAGGTCTCAGTAGAGGTCTTTCATTGTGACAGTTGGTTTCGTTTTGTTTTGGAGGGAGACAGGAGCAGAGAGAGAAAGCACAGTACTGTACAGAAAAGCTAACAAAACTGGTTTTTTGGAATGCAGATTTCTTTCAGAATTCTTTATATGAAGTTGAATTTACATAATGCTAATTTATTCAAAGCAAGAACTGTCTACATCAATTTGGAATGCCTTTGCATAGAACTGATAATTAAGATTATGGAAACTAATGAGGTCACTAAGAAAGAAAGTGTAGAGAGAGAGAAAGGGCCCGTGACAGTGCCATCCTGGGTCATAGGCACAATTAAGGTGCCTTATATAAAGGAGACTGAGATGGAGTGATTAGATAGATAGGAGAACCAGGAGAAGGTTGTGTGGGATTAAAAAAAAGAAGAGAGCATATAAGAAGGTGGTCAATAGTGTCAGATACAGCAGAGAAGTCAGAAAGGATGAAGATTGAAAATAGTATCAGATATGGTAAATCAAAGATCATTGAATCTTTGGAGAGAGCAATTTCAGATCATTACTGAGGTTGGAAGCTAGACTGCAAAGGATTGAGAAAAACCATGAAAAGATAGTATCCTTTAGGAGGGAGAGGTTGGTCAGAAACACCCCAATTATTCCTTTTAAAAAAAAACCTTTTAGGGGCAGCTAGGTGGCGCAGTGAATAGGGCTCTGACCTTGGAGTCAGGAGGACCTGAGTTAAAATCCAGCCTCAGACACCTAACATTTACCGGCTGTGTGACCCTGGGCAAGTCACTTAACCCCGATTGCCTCACCAAAAACAAAAAACAAAAAAAACCTTTTGTAATAGTAAAAGTAGCTAATGTTTATATAGTGCTTTAAAGTTTGCAAAGTAGTTTACAATCTTAAGATTCTGTCCTTGAGACTTTACTCAAAACCCATGTAACCCATTGTGTCCTAGTAATGTTACTGTATTCTGTGTATTTCCTTGCACTTCTGGCATCTGACCCATATCTTAATGCCTACCCAACCTCCCATCCTCCATGTATTTTTTAAGACTACTTTCATGTTGAACTTTCCTTTCTTTGACATCTCAGACATTTAAAGTCTGTATTTAGTGCAGTTTTTCCTTCCTTTTAAGTATCTGTAGGACTCAGCTCTTATTCTCCAGTGTTACCACAATTTTGGGGTAATTAATCATTACTTATTACAACATAAAATTGTTTTCCTTATTGGCAATCCATTTTGTTTTATTGTCACATTACCTAAAGTACTGGGAAGCTAGGTGGCACAGTAGACAGAGTGCCAGGCAAGGGTCAGGATTGTCTTCCTGAGTTCAAATTTGGCCTCAGACACTAGCTGTGTGACACTGGGCAAGTCACTTAATGTTGTTTGCCTCAGTTTCCTCATTTGTAAAATGAACTGGAGAAGGAAATGGCAAACCACTTCAGTATCTCTGTCAAGAAAATCCCAAATAGGATCATGAAAAGTGGGACACAACTGAAAAACAACAGAACAGCAACACTTAAAATACTGCATTCATCCTTTCACTACTGATCATTAAAAAAATATGTTTACTACTTATGGTCTGCTGTATCATGTCTTAACTCCTCTACTTAGCATTCAAAGTACTCTTTAGTTATCCACCCATATTTCTCTCTGTTCCCTAACAACACTCTCTACTGCAATTCAAAAATACTGATATTCTCTTTTTATAACATACAATTTCCTGCAACTTTGTGTTTATGTTGTACTCACTGTCTGGATGGTACTTCACTACTTTCAGCCTCTAATATTTGGCCTTCTCTATAGTACTTAAGAATTTACTTAAAAAAAAAAAAGCCAAGGTATAACTAACCCATTGTCTCTTTACTTGACCTTAGAGTAATTTGCATCCTCAAAACATAAAAAAGTATTGAGTAGATTTTGTGGCCAGTAATGTTCTCAGTCACTTCATGGAAGTGCTGCCATTTTTCTCACTTTTCTTTATCAGTAACTCTCTCACCATTCTAAAATGTTCTATAAAATTTGTGTAGCAAACTTTTTATTATTCTGTAATATCACATAGCAGAACCTAATCCTGCAAATTTAGGTTATATAACCTTAGTTGTGTCCACATTGAGGATTGCCACTATATCCTTTAAACAGTCACTGATTTCCCTGGTTGGTAACATCCATCCATCCGTCAATCAGTCATTCAACAAATATTTATTAAATACCTAGTCCCAAGTTTTGTTCTAGACATTAGCTATACAGATGTAGTGAATGAAATAATCCCTGTCACAAGGAATTTGCATTCTAAACCATCTCCATCAGACCTTGTATATATCACTTTAGTTTTAAATTTTTAATGTACTTTTCATGTAATATATAATACTATGTTTAATGTATCACTAGTGGTTTAGCCTCCATCCCCTTTACATTAACTGCACATTGCCCTTGTCACTATCCAGAAGGTGTGTGTAGTAAGTGCTTTTACTTAGAAGAAGCAAGAATTTCTGTGACTTACAGATTAGCCCTGATTTTTGTTAGGGAAATTGTAGGAGTGCTAGGACTGAAGTAGTATTCTTATAAACATGAAATTGTTGCTTATGTAGGATTCTTTTGGTGACATTGTACATGATCAGTTTAGGTGGGGTAAGAGATGGAAACCCCAGAAACTAGTTGGACTTCTATTAGAATAATTTGGACATGGGTTAATGGGACTCTGATCCCAGATTACCTTACACAATTCTGATATTTGCTCATAGTCAAATCCTCTGTTTAATCTATTACACTATTGACTATTACATTTCTTTCAGGTGGGATGACCAGGTATGAAACCAAGCAGGGCACTTCTGAAGAGGCATTAGCCCAGGTGACAGTGGAAAGATTTCCAAAAGGTGTTATCTGGTACTCTGAGTTAAGAGATACCTGGAAACATGTTGGCCCATTTGGAAGGCAAATGATAGTTCCTCAGGAGAAAATTATCCCAGGGAAGACAGACCCTAAGTGTAGTGAAATTAGTCTGAATTCAGTCCTTGTTACGGAACAGAAAGTTTCCATAAGAGAGAAATCCCAAGGATGTGATCTATATGGAAGAACCTTTCAATTTAGTTCACACCTAATTAGACATCAGAAAATCTGTGTATGGAAGAAACCTTATGAATGTCATGAATGTGGGAAAGCTTTTAGTAAGGGTGCACTCCTAAGGCAGCATCAGAGAGTCCATACTGGAGAGAAACCCTATAAATGTAATGAATGTGGAAAAGCTTTCACATTGCGTGGGAGCCTTACTGGACACAAGAGCATTCACACTGGAGAAAAACCCTATGAATGTAATGAATGTGGGAAAGCCTTCAGACTGCATGCACACCTTACTCAACATATGAGAATTCATACTGGAGAGAAACCCTATGAATGCAGTGAATGTGGGAAAGCCTTCAGATTGCATGGACACCTTACTAAGCACCTAAACATTCATCCTGGAGAGAAACCCTATGAATGTAATGAATGTGGAAAAGCTTTCAGTAAAGGTGCACTCCTTAAGCAACATCAGAGAGTCCATACAGCTGAAAGACCCTATAAATGTGATGATTGTGGAAAAACTTTCAGTATGAGTGCACTCCTTAAGCAGCATCAAGGAGTCCATACTGGAGAGAAACCCTATGAATGTAGTGAATGTGGGAAAGCCTTCAGACTTCGTGGAAGCCTTACTCAACATAAGAGCATTCATACTGGAGAGAAACCCTATGAATGTAATGAATGTGGGAAAGCTTTCAGTACAGGTGCAATTCTTAAGCAACATCAGAGAATCCATACTGGAGAGAAGCCCTACAAATGTGATGAATGTGGGAAAGCCTTCAGTCGGAGTTCAAGTCTTACTGAACATAAGAGAATCCATACTGGAGAAAAACCTTATGAATGTAATGAATGTGGGAAAGCCTTCAGACTGCATGGACACCTCACTAAACACCAGAGCATTCATCCTGGAGAGAAACCATATGAATGTAACGAATGTGGCAAAGCCTTCAGACTTTGTGGAAAACTTACACAACATAAGAGAATTCATACTGGAGAAAAACCATATAAATGTAGTGATTGTGGGAAAGCATTTGGTGATGGTGCACTTCTTATGCGGCATCAGAGAGTCCATACTGGAGAGAAACCCTACAAATGCAATGAATGTGGAAAAGCCTTTAGTCGTCGTGCAAACCTTACTCAACATAAAAGAGTCCATACTGGAGAAAAACCCTATGAATGTCAAGAATGTGGGGAAACTTTCAGTCAGAGTAAACAACTAAAGCGACATCAGACACTTCATACTGGAGAGAAACCCTACAAATGTAATGAATGTGGGAAAACCTTCCGTCAGAGTAGACAGTGTACTCAACATCAGAGAATTCATACTGGAGAGAGACCCTACACATGCAGTGAATGTGGAAAGACCTTCAGACTGCATACACAGCTTACTGAACACAAAAGCATTCATACTGGAGAGAAAGCTTATGAATGTAACGAATGCGGGAAAGCCTTCAGACTGCATGCAAACCTCTCTCGGCATCAAAGAATACATACAGGAGAGAAACCCTATAAATGTAATCAGTGTGGGAATGCCTTTAGGCACAGTTCAACTCTAGTCAGACATCAGAGACTTCATAGTGGAGAGTAATCCTGAGATTTTAGTGAATGGAGAAATTCTTCTGTTATATTTATCCCTTATTCAAATATTTGTGGTCATTAAGTCATAGTTTGTCACTAATTGATTTTGTCATGTCTTAGAGAAAAATATGCTTCCTCTCTGTATTTCTTTCTGCTCTACTATACACCTCAGTGCCTACAAGGGACTTCACATTAATTCAACTTAAAGCATATCACCTTATAATTAATATGGCAAATGATTAGTTCAGCTAACATCAGTTTCCTGATAATATGAGTAAGTTGTTATGTTGTTTGAATTCTTAAAAATTACCCAGTTTTACAGTTTTCAACACCTACTGAAATTTTTGCATGATTTCTGGTATTACCACACTAGTAGGCATGACTAACAAATACAGTTAGAAGTTGATCATTAGTTTTAATTGGCTTTAAGTGAGTTGACCATCTTTTTTTAGAAGTAAAGTTAAACAAATATGAGGTGGGATGTGTGCTTATAAAATTATTGTCAAGGATCATAGATTTAAAATGTCAAGGAACCTCAGAAGCCCTATCGTCCAACCCCATTTTACAAATGAGGAAACAAGCCTATACTGTTTGATTTTTCCAAGGTCACATAGGTGGTGACAGAAAGGACTTAAACCTAGATGTCTAAATTGAGAGGATTTAATGGAGTCAGGTTCCTCTGTCGCTTTTCCCTACTCCCTAAAATAAATAATAGTAACACCAGAGGGAAGATAAAAAGCTAAAAATAAATTACATGCACACATAAGAAAAAAAAAACTAACCAAAATTTAATATGAACAAATGATACAACTGAAAATACTTAATAATAACAATTGAATCAGGTAAAATACCAAAAACTATGAGAGATGGAAAAAGATGTTATAAAAAAAAGTTAAGGATTTGTTCTCCCATTGCATATGTAACAGGTGAAGTCTGAAATAACTGAGGAAACAAAGGTTCAAGCTTCTGAGCATATCAATTTAGTGAGCAGTGCATGCTAATTGTATGTCAAATTGGGACCATACCTCCTCAACTTGGCACTGGACCCCAAATACAGGGAGAAAGAGATTTTTATGCATTAAAAGAAAACCAGATATAAACCAGGATACAAGATTGGGTAATCTGATTTCACATTAAAGGAAAGATTAGGGGCTTTCCAAGTTGGGAGAAAGCAAACAATTGCAGTTCCTTGAAATCAGGAAAAAAGAGGTGTCCCACCCCCCCCCCAAGTATCTGTATTCAATAAAAGGAACAATGAAACAGTGACTGGTTGACCAGTACGGGGCCAGTGTTCAAATAAGACATATGGGTTGCTTGAGATGTATAGTTGTGGGAAAACTCCTTACATCATTCTTTGGATCTGACTGGATTTCTGGTCAGCATAACCGAGGTCGTTAGTTAAGGGTCTCTAAGCAACAGGGCTAGTCCAGCTTCCCAGCCACACTGGGCTAAGTTCAAACAGTGCAATAAAGTTTTTTCACAATTGGACTAGACCCATAATTGAATAGAAAGGGAACTGAGCTAGATCAAGAATTGAGTCACAAGATGGAGTTGGTGTGGTCCACTCAATTCCCACAGATAAAAAGACACAATCAAGTGAAATTGGCAATGCTTAGAAAATCACAAGGTTAAATAATAGCTACAATACTAATAGATTGTACAAGAAAATTAGGTTAGAAGAGATGAAAAATGAGAAAAAATAACATTACAAAAGAAAATATAAGATGCAAAGATGCAAGAAACAGTACACGCTACTTTGGAAAAAGGAATTACACACAGTTGTGGAGCAGCAGGAAATACAAGCTCCCTCTGAAAAACACACATTGAATTATCCAAACTTTTGGAAAAGACAGACCTAAGTGATGGATCTATAGGATAAATCACAGCACTGTAGTCAGGGTTTTTTTCCCAGAATTGGTGAAAATAGCCAGTGAAACATAATTAGAAGTAATCCACAAGATACAACAAGAACGTTGAGGGTAAGGGACTTTTTTGTGTGTGTTTTCAGTCAATAAATATTTGTTGATTGATCAGTCCAGATGGAAAAACTCCAAATTCAACACTGCTAGAAGCTCCTTATTTTTAAAGTGCAACAGTACAATAATTGAAATGCTAGTGTGTGCTACAAGAAGTGAAAAAATTACTAACCAATAAACAAACATTAGGATCACTGCAGATTTCAAGAACAAGGGAGGAGAACAGAAATTGGAAAAAAAGGCATTTACAAAATGAGTTACAGACCTTGAACCCTTAGCCCATAGAATACATGCTCTATGAAAACAGGAGTTATTTTAAATGCAAACAGCTATTAGGTTGAAGAAAGATTTTAAAATATCATGCAGGGGTGGAGTGATAGCAAGAAAAGATTTATAAATAGCGTATGAGGATGGAATGATACCAAGAAAATAATCTGTATAAAACATTTCCTCAAGTGTAGAGAAAACATTTTCGATTAAAGGCATTTTTAGTGGGGAAAATATAGGGATAAAAGGTCCTACATTATGATTTGTAAAAGCATTTGAAACCATAAGCTAGTACATACAGAAAAGAAATTCTAGCAGCATTCCTATTCATGTAGGTATTAAGCAAGACTTTGGCTTTCTTAATAGCAATTTTACAAATCTTAGCAATAGTAATTAAGACATGAAAAATAAGCATTGGAAATAAAGAGGTGAAAATATTTCCATTTGTATATAATGTGATTATCCTTAAAACTAAAGAAATAAAAAAAATAAATGTCTGCTAAAATAGCAAGATATGAGATGTTTTCACAGAATCATTCCCATGAATCAAAGGAAAATGATGGAGAAATAGCCTTTCTAATTACATCAAAATATTAAGTATCTGAACATTAACTTATGAAGACAAATAGGCTTAAATAATTTCTAATTGATTTTAACAAATTAAGAATGAAAATGTTCATCCACTGTTCATGATTATGTCAGATAACAAAAATGACAGTACTTGCCAAACTGACATGTTTTATGCATTATCAAAACATCAGTACTCTCATAAAACCAGAAAATACTTTTAAAAAGGATAACAACTCACAAAAAGTAAACCAATACCCAGGCTTGGCCCTAGATTTCAAACAAAAGAATAAGCCTACCTCCCTTCTTTGCAAAGGTAGAAAACCATAGGTGTAGAGGACTACATGCACTATCAGATACAGTCAATGTGTTAATTGGTGTTGCTGATCTTTTTCAATCTTTCTTAAAAGTGATCCCTTGATAGAGTATTGGTGGAGGGATAAATTCATAAATAAGTGGAAAACTTTTTTTTTCGAAATCAAAGTGGACTAGCACTACCAGATGTCAACATTCCTACATAAACAATAGTTATAAAAACTAGTTTTAATTGGTACTAGAAAAAAAAAACAGCAGTGACAGAAAAAATTATAGAGTGGGTAGCAAGGTGGTGCAGTGTATACAGTGCCAAGCTTGGAGTCAGGACATCTCATCTTCCTGAGATCAAATCTGGCTTGACTCTTACAAGCTGTGTGATGCTAGGCAACTCACTTTACCCTGTTTGCTTCAGTTTCTTCATCTGTAAAATAAGCTGGAAAAGAAAATGGCAAGTCACTCCACTATCTCTGCCAGGAAAACCCCAAATGGTGTCACAAAGAGTTGGACATGAACAACGGAGTGATAGATAAAAAAAACCTAGACAAGTCTATGCCTTATGTTTTCCAGTTCAATTTTCACATAGGAACAATGATGGTAGGATTCACATTCTAGCCCAGGGGCCTAGTGACAACTTTTATATAAATGACAACAAACATTTTTAATCAACTTTCAATAATATATGGGGTATATATCCCTTCAACATCAAGCTTTCACATACATGTGTGTATATACACACATTTTTTTTTTTTTTGCCTAGGCAATGGGGTTAAGTGAAAGAAAAAATATTTTCCAAATTGTGAAGAGGAACATTTTTATTCATCAAGTAAAAAAAACTGGAGATCGTTTGGATTTGATAGTTAAAGAATTCTGCACAAGAAAATATAGTACCTAAAAGTAAAAAAAATAGATTGGAGAACATTTTAAAAATAAGCAGAGTAGATTAAAAGGGACATCCAGAATTTATAAAGTACTGATGACTTACCTGTGGGGCAATAAAAAAATTTCCCACTGAAGTGAGACATGAAAATAGACAATTTTGAAGGAGGAAATGAAATCTGTTAACAACTGTAAGGAAAAATGCTCAGCCTTGCTAACAATCAGAAATGTCAATCAAGGCAACTTTACAATATCAACTTATTCCACTAGAACAGCAAAAATATCAAAATTGGTAAAGTCCAATATTGGGCTGATGGGAAACGTTACTATTGGTAGATTGTAGAGTAGTGCAAACATTTTGGAAAATGTGCAATAAATCACAGAACGTGCCTTTCAACCTAGAAATTCCATCACTAGGATTCTTTCTGATGGGTGTGGGTGGTGGGGTTACGGAGTTGCAGGAGGAAGAGAACAAAAAGCAAAACGGTGACTTGTTATAGCAACGAACTAGAAACAACCCACATGTCCAACAATTACAAAATGGCTTCATAAATTATGGCATAAACACGTAAAGGAATCGGGTCATGCTCTGATACTCAAATGGATAAGTGAGATCATGACTTGAGAGTTCCTTGCAGTTGATGCAGTTCACAATCCTTCCATGACTACCCTTCCTCTGTGACTAGCCCATGTCCTTCCTAAGTTTGCCACAGGGGTTTTACCCAACATTCCTTGCTTTCTCCTGACATTCTAAAGAGTCCTCTGGTTTAAACTTGTCACAAGCTTCACCTGCAACGTGACCAGCCCATCTTCACTTCCTGTCATACGTTTTTCCTCGACGACATCATTTACTGGTTTAAAGTTCTTAATTGCTTAGATGTTGTAGCCTGTTCACACTTGCTATGTGCTTCTCCATTTTCCTCTGTGTGATATTTAATTTTAATTCTTTGGAGACTATTTTATTTCATCTGCTGCTGTCATACTGAAACAGAAAGAAAGTTGGAGTTTTTTAAGGGCTATTATTTCCACGGTAAGCTGAAGGCTATTAAAGGAGCTCTGCAAATTCTTGATGGCAATCCAGCCCAATCTACTTGACTCTCCTGCCATAAAAATGATAGATATGCATAGTACAAGGAAATAAGGAAATACTTAAGTGAGATGATACGGAGTAGAATCAATAGAGCCAGAACTAAGTACACACTAATTACCTTTTTTTTCTCTTTTTAAGAGATGAAAACAGTCAAAGATTGCACAATGTCAAACTGGTCAAACTAGTAAAGGGACACAAAGTGAAAGCATTTTCTGTGTGTTCTTTGTTAATATGTTTGGTTTTGCTTTGTAGAAAGCTGGAAGTTTCGGGTAAGATCTTGTCCTTTGTTTTTGTTTTTGTTGCTTTTTGTTTGAGATAGTTATTCTGTCCCTAATAAAAGTAAAAATTTTAAAATAGAAATTGTTTCCAGCCACAGCAATTTATAAAACTTTGGTGGCATACAAAAGTTCATTGCTGGAGGAAGTGCCCTGATGAAATCACAGATCTTTGAAGCATATATTTTAAAATCTAAATGTGCTGTGATAAAAATGTGATAACCTTTGAAAGTAAAGGAACTAAACAAATACAGGTTGTACTCAGTTATCTCAGGTTATATGAGGGTAGGGGAAGTGCCTTATGTTTTCCAATTCAATTTTCACATAGGAACAATGATGGTAGGATTCACATTCTAGCCCAGGGGCCTAGTGACAACTTTTATATGAATGACAACAAACATTT